GCTCTCGATTAGCGCACCTTTCGCTGCGTACTTGCCAGAGGTAGCATCAACACTAGTGCCTTGTTACCGCTTCTACGGATGGGTGCAGTTTCCTGATGCAGTGCCACTTTATCGCACTCGCTTCTCTAAGATGAGGCTATTGAAGGGTGTACGACGGAAGACCCATCGCGTGGCAGCAAGGCAAAATGAGCGGGCGAGCTGCAGTGCTGTAGTGATTTCGCCTTAAGATAAATAGAATTGAATGCTATATATCCCACATCGATATCACATGCTGCTACTCGTCCGCTGACTTGTTGTCTTCTTGCCGCACCACGGCTTCCTGTGTGTACCCACTAACAAACAGGACATGAAGAAGTGTGTGTTTCCAGGGGTATATGCCCGATTTTCCGAAGAAGGTGCAGTGTTCTGGAAGAACAAGAATCAAATTGCGCGTAAGTTGAGAGTCAACTCAAAGTTTTAAGTTTACTAAGATATTTAGACTAGAGCCACGAGAAAAAGGAAAGGACGACTATTTTTGTTGTGAACAAGCTTTCATTAGTCTTCAAGATTTATTTCTTTAGGCGTCATATGATTCGTTCTGTTCTGAGCGTTTCTTTTCACGCGCACGTTCGTCTCCTTACAATCGCCTGCATAGGGAGCTCAAGAATGCTGACGCTCATCACTTGATGATCTATGAGGTTGGCGTACAGTTTTCTCTGGCTGACCTTACCATCCAAGAAGTACGAAAATGAAAGCAGGGGTGTTAAGTAGACCGTCAGGAAAGGAAAGGTAAAGAATAAGGCAAAATAAGTGCTCCCTTGTTTCTGTAATGCGGCTGTGGAGGCAATGAGGCAATGAGCGCGGAAGGAGTGTAACGAGTACAACGGACAGAAGGCGCAGACGTCCGCATGTAGTGAACTAAAAAAATGGGTGCGGTAGGAGCGGTCCTGAACATTCGCGCCTCTATCGCGCACTATTAAGCAGGGTGAATAACGGTCGAGGAAATCCTCGACAGGGGGTCGTATTTGCTCCGATGAGAGTTGGGAGGGGGTCGTAATCAAAAGGTTCATCAACGGACACAACGGTGCTGCTGCCACTTATTTGCTGTCATCATTAGTTTCACAAGTGTTGTAGTTAGCCTAATGCAAATAATATCTTACACTGTCTGGAATTAAAATTCAAATGGAAAGTGGTTGTTGGTTTGGTTCGTAGTGATCAGTATGGCATAGGAAGGCAACGCGTCCTGCAAAAGAATCGTAGGGAAAGGGCAGCTTGTCTACTCCGAATGATGTAAATGCTCTCAAGGCCATAGGTTTTTCCATTTTCCTGCGCACCAAACATGCCCTCTTCCCAAAATTCTTTACGGCGTTTTCAACGACAACAATTCCTCCCATACCTGATGGTGAGAGACAACCCCCTACATTCCCAATTTCGGGGAGTCTTCCACTTTCGCTCACTCTGGCACTGGGTGAGCGAGTCATTGAGTATATCGCTGGGTAAGGTATGGGTATGTATATGATAATGGTTTTCCTTAAAGGAATCTTCCACGGAAAAAGCTCCGCCCTCATTACCACAGAAAACGATACCTTAAAGGAATCTTCCACGGAAAGAGTGATCATTTTGTCTTGTGTGTAGGATTAGTATTATCGAAACTAACGCTTATGTTCCGTTCTTTTTGCTATGCTCATGTAGGCTGGAGGCCAAGGGGTATCGTTTTTCTGTGGT